GAGGTCACACCACTGCACTCCAGCCTGGGTAACAAAACTCAAATTAAAAAAAAAAAAAAAAAAAAAGAAATAAAATAATAATAATAATAAAATGGAGCAAGCTGAGACTGGCCAGATGAGACTGACCAAGCATGAGGTGATAATATTATAGTTACTGTATATTTTACTATGCTCTTATATTGCTTTTATATTGCTTTCTAGAATCCTTTCATTTCAATTTGAAGGACTCTTTTTTAGTATTCTTTGCGGAGCAGGTCTAGTGGTAATGAGTTCCCTCAGCTTTTGTTTATCTGGGAAAGAGAATTTCTTCTTCATTTTTGAATGACAGTTTTGTCAGGTATAATTTTTTGGCTGGCAAAGCTTTTTTTTTTCCTTTTTAAATACTTGGAATATATAATCTTGCTCCCTTCTGGACTTTGAGATGCCTGGGGAGATATCTGCTGGTAATTTTATAGGAGCTCCATTGCATATGTTCAGTCATTTTTCTTTTGTTGCTTTCAAGATTCTCTTTGCAATTTTGACAATATGTGATTACAGTAGGACTATATGTGGGTCTCTCTGAGATTATCTTTCGTGGAGTTTGCTGAGCTTCTTAAATTTGTATGGCAATATCTTTCCTCAAATTTGGGAAATTTGGGGTCTGATAAGGTTTGGCTGTGTCCTCACCCACATCTCATCTTGAATTGTAACTCCTACAATTCCTACGTGTCATGGGAGGAACTTGGTGGGAGGCAATTGAATTATAAGGGTGGGCCTGTCCTGTACTGTTCTCATGATAGTGAAGGAGTCTCATGAGATCTGATGGTCTAAAAAAAAAAAAATAGGTGTTTCCCTGCACAAGCTCTCTTCTCTTGTCTGCTGCCATGAGAAAACATGAGATGTGCCCTTCACCTTCCACCATGATTGTGAGGTCTCCCTAGCAATGTGGAATCGTAAGTCCAATAAACCTCTTTCTTTTGTAAACTGCCCAGTCTTGGGTATTTCTTTATCAGCAGCATGAAAACAGAATAATACAGGGTCTTTATTTCTTTGCGTAGGACCTCAACCCTTTCTCTCTTCTATGTTTAAGATTTCCATAATACATGTGTTGCTCCATTTGCTGATGTCCCATAAGCTCCTTAAGTTTCCTTCACTTTTCTTCATTTTTTTCCTCTCTGACTCAATAATTTCAAATAAACTGTTTTCAAGGTTACTGAGTCTTTCTTCTCTTTGGTCAAGTATGAAACCCTCCAGTGAATTTTTCCATTCAGTTATTATATTCTTCAGCTCTAGAATTTTTTTTGTTTATATATCTATATATATATAAAAATTTTATTGTATTTTAGGTTTGGGGGTACATGAAAAGAACGTGCAGGATTGTTGCATAGGTATATGCATGGCAATGAGGTTTGCTACCTTCCTCCCCATCACCTATATCTGGCATTTCTCCCCATGTTAT